AACACAAACACAATTTCCAGCACTCCTTTAAACAATCAAAATCAAAACACTCACGAATTGAAGAAAATTTTAAGACATTTTCAAATTTTGGAAACCTACAAATTTTTTTTAAGAAAACTACTAATGATCTAATAGTAGTTCATGAACTCAATCAAAACAAAAATTATGAGCTTATACCAAATGAAAATGGATCTCGGCCAAATCTAGAAAATGATTCAAGATTCACTTAAAAAAAATTTCAAACGGATCAACAAGCAAAGCTAAGAATGATGAACATATAAAGGACTACACAAACCTACTAGACATAGATTCAAAACAAAAAATAAGACTCAAGCATACAATGACCGAATTAAAATTTCAAATAAGACTCAAATAAAGCAAAACGTTCATAGGCAGAAAATTTCCTAATAGGCACAAGAATGGAGCATGATTCATGGAAGCATATTATCTCAAAAGCTTAATGAATCATTCAAGCAAACAAGAAACTAGATCCATCAAATTTTAAGGCTAAACTTAGATCTAGGAATGAAGAAACTCTCATGTGACAAGAACTCAAAACAAGATGAACAAAAATGAAAAACAATGAACCACTGATCACAACATCAAAAGACAAGAATCAAGACTTATCTCTTGAAGAAAACCGGATGCTCTTGATACCACTTGATGTGCTTCCACTTGGAATGCACACGGATGCTTCAAGCCTTCACGGAAATCCTTGGAAGAAGCTTCAAGGATGGAGTCTCCATAAAGGCTCAATGTGACCTAAGCTTGCATACAAGCTAAGTCCGAAGAAGATTAGGATTCCTAGCTCTACAAAGAGAAGCACTCAAGGAGGGTAGAGTTAGGAAACTAGGTGACTTCGAAGGGATGAATTTCAAGAGAGAAAAACTCATCAATATAATCCAAAGTAACCTTGCAAGTCTCGGCCATAGTGATTTATAGGATAAAATTAGGTTAAGGTGACCTTGGGTTAGCTTAAGGTTAAGTGGAACCATGGTAAGGTTCACTTAACCTTAGGCGCCCAAAATTTGAATTCAAAATTCAAATTTTGGTGCCTAAAACCCGGATCACCCATGTGCTAGTTCATTTGGCATGTAATTAGAAGTCCATTTGAGTTGCATTTCGGATCACACCATGTGTATGTGTTGCACATGGCCGAAATGCACACCAAATGTGTTTCTAATTACATGCTAATGCAACTTCACATGTAACCTAAAATAACCCTAAATTCACATGTTCTCTAAATGCAAATCCTAAGCTACATGGCCGGAAATACAAGGCCCAAAAGAAATACAAGGCACTAAGGCCCAATCCTACACTAATCCTAATCTACTAAATTCTTTTCATAACTATCCAACAAATAATATAATCCAAAATTGTTTAGGAAATTTCTTAGTAGTATTTTCCTTATTTTCTAGGAAATGCCTAGGTTACCACATAGGGTACTTTAGGAAAGATGTTTTAGTTTTTAGGATTAAGTCTTTAGTGTGCTATAGTTTTAGTTTTAGCACATTTTTAGGATTTAGTAATATACCTAGTCTATGTTTAGGAGAGGATCCTATTCATTATATTAGAAGGTCTAGTATCATAGATTTCTTTAGGTTCCATGAAAGGATTCCTTCTAGGATATACCTTTCACATTTATTTGTTGAGAATATCACCTCTAATGAATTTTATTATATATTTGTAGGTGTGGCCAATAATCATGAAGACCCTCGAGATTTAAGGTCAAATCCTTTTCAAGAGGGAGGGGATGATAGACTATGGCCAAGGCCAAGGAATCCAAGAGGTGATATCCTAAAAGAACCAAGAGGAATGGGATGATCTTAAAGACCTTTTCATATGTTTGTACATATAGTAGTTTCTTTGGATAGGCTTATTTTTGCCTTTGTATTTGTGAGGCACTTTACTTACTTTTATTAGTTATTGTATATTGTTTTTAGGGTGGGTTACTTGGGGAGTTTAACTCCATTTAACCTCCTTTGTTGATACATTCATTTTATATTTTTTCAGTAGGGAAAAAGGGGTGGCATTTAGCAATGCTTGAGGGTGTGACTAGTAATTGGGCCAGAACTGGGCCTAGGCAAAATTTTGCATATTAGACTCATTTTGCTCCTAATTTTTCATAGATTTGATTTAGCTAGGTCTCATCATCATATGATGAACCTAACTAAACCAAATCAAATATTTGTGAAATAAATCATGGAGCATTTTTGAGCCTTGGCTGCCTAGCCAATTCCTTTTGTTCTTGGCCGAAATTTCTAGCTTCTCCTACAAGCTTTGAAGCTTGCCTTCCGAGCTTCTAAACCTTAGTAGGTTTGGCTGACCTTACCATGGTTCTTAAGTGAACCATGGTCAAGGTTAGCTTCTCCTACAAGTTTTAGAAACCATGGATGGTTAGCTACACCTTACCATGGTTCCTAGTGAACCATGGTTAAGGTTAGCTTACACTACAAGCTACCTCTCCCTATAAATTTGTATTCTCTTCACTTGTAATCACTTTTTGAACATTTGATAAATTAATCTTTAGATTTCTCTCCCAAAATTCTCTCCTAAAAACCGTAGAGAATTCTTTCTTTAGGTTTCTACCAAAGGTGCTTCAACCTTTGCTTGGTTCCTCGAGCTTCTACCTCAAGCTAAGGAGTAACCGAATCCCTTCCTTGCTTCAACCTCCATTGAAGGTTCCTTCATGGAGATTCAAGCCTTATTTTGAAGGATGCCTCAAGAGTATTTCGGTCCTTGCATGAAAAGCTTGGAAGAACATTCATCTTCTCCAAGTGCTTCCATCAGAGCGGAATCGAGCTCGGAAGCGCCAGGGCTGAACGCCCCCGCTGTTGCGCAGGCAGCGCCTGCTTCGTCTCCTGCTGAGGTTCGCGAAGGGGAGTCGAGCTCTGAAGCTCCTTCGTCGACTCATGTAACTACTGCGCCGCCGCCTCCTCTTCCAACTGGGGCTCCTAAAGGGAAGTTTATCGTCGAACGCTTCGACAAGGAGCGCCCTTTGACAAGGCTGGACCACGTGAGCGCATCATCAGATGCGGACTCATTGTGGAGTTCGAAGGTGACTGTTGAGACCTTCTACCCGAAGGGCTCGCTCCGTTCGGTCGATAAGGCAATGATTGAAAAGGTCGGGCCGGTGGAGAGCCTCGACTCTACGGAGGTCTTCATGCAGCGATCGCTTGCCATTGTGGACCACTGGAAGCAGAAGTGGTCGAAGCTACAGGGGGACCTCGAGAAAGCGAAAGGCCGGGTCCAGCCTTTGGAGGAGGAGAATAAGGCCTTAGGAGCCGCTCTCGGCGAGGCAAAGAGGCAGAATGAGGCCGAGCTTCAAGCGACGAGGAGGGATCTTGCAAGGGTTCAGAAATCTTTGGAGATCACCTTGAGGGCTAATGAAGTCTACGCCGCTCAAGTTGGCGAGCTTCAGGAGCTCTCCACCTTCTCTCATAATCAAGTGCGCTCTCTTGAAGACGAGGTCTCGGCGCTGAAGGCTGAGCTGGGGGAAGCCGCTGAGAGGCGTCTCTGTGACGAGGTGTTTCTTAGTGGCAAGGAAGAGGAGGTCGTCGCTCTAAGGGCGGATCTTGACAAACTGGCCGCGCTAAGGCGGAGTTGGAGAGGAAGCTTGTTGAGACCGAGCGAGCTATCCTGCTGGAACATAAGAGGGGCTTTGTCAAGGCAACTTGTCAAGCGAGGTTGCTGGCTCCTGGGGTCGACCTCTCACCCATGCATGTGGAGAAAGAGGTGCGAGCAGGGCGGCTGGTGAAGGAAGACAACCTCCTTGACAGCTCGAGCGAGAATGCCTCTATCTAGGCCGCTGGTTTCTGTAATAACTTAGTTTATTGCGTTCATTTTTCTTTCCTTTTGGATTCATGTTTTGAACTCATAAACTTGTTGTCTTGGCTTAGGATAAAATAATTTGTACTGAGGTTTGAACTCGACCTTGGCTTAAGATAAAATAATTCGTACTGAGGTTCGAACTCGATCTCGACTTTAACGTACAATAATTCGTACCAAGGTTCGCACTCGACCTTGGCTTAAGATAGAATAATTCGCACTGAGGTTCGAACTCGACCTTAGCTTAAGATTTCGTACCAAGGTTCGAACTCGACCTCGGCGTGGGATAAGAGATTTCGTACCAAGGTTCGAACTTGACCTCGGCTTTAAGATTTCGTACCAAGGTTCAAACTCGACCTCGACTTTAAGATTTCGTACCAAGGTTCAAACTCGACCTTGACTTAAGATAAGACATTTTATAATAAAACAGTGTAAATTTAAGAAGTCATGTAAATTTAAAAAATAAATGTTGATTTTAAATTTACTTTTTTAATGTAGTTCAATTTAGTTTATAGTTAATAATAATTTAATTTAGTTGATATTATAGTTTAGTTTAAATTCCTAGAACTATAGTGCACTAAATTAGATAATAGTTTAATTTAGTTTTCTTCTAGTTTAGTTCAATTTAGTAATTTGAACACCCCTAGTGATACGTGTCATGCCAACATGACACATGTCATGCCAACATGACATGTGACATGATACATGCCACATCCATTAAGTATTTAAACGGAGGAAACAAACAAATCAAACATTAAGATATATTTTAAAGATGTGAGGACTAAATTGATTAAATTAATTAAAGTGAGACTAAATTGAATCTAAAAATAATATAAGGAAAAAAAAAATAATTTTGTCTAAAAAAATATATATAAAAAATTCTCGTAATACACCACTAATCCAAATAAAACATCAACTTAAATGACCTTTGAAACAGAACGAACCTAAGTGCTATTTCGTCCATATTCACACCTACTACACATCCCAACAATTCCCGCTCTGTCATTAAGAGGCCTGTGTTGCGTCTCACGTTTCAACGTGTTCTGTTCTTTTTCGTTGTCGTCACGACCTCGCAAAACGCGAAACGTCGTTGTTGTAGAAGAGAAAGGTGAGTATTATTGTGCAACATGAAGAGCGAGAAGGGGCAAATGTTGCATGATCTGATTGAGAATGCGGGAGGCTGCGCTGTTACCGATGGAGGATTCGCCACGCAGCTGGAAAAGCACGGAGCATTTATCAACGATGCTCTTTGGAGTGCCATCTATTTGATCAAGGACCCACAGCTAATCAAGCAGGTTTTTTATTTTTGTCTCATTTTCTGTTTTCATTATGTTTCACATTCATAATAATCTCGTGTTTTATTTTGCACGTTTGTGATGAATTTTTATTGGGTTTCTTTATTTGATTGATTTGTTTTAGGTTCACGTAGAATACTTGGAGGCTGGTGCGGATATATTGGTTACTTCATCGTACCAGGTAAAGTTTACTACTTAGTTCGAATTATTTATCAAATTTATCAATTCGTAAGAGAATTTGAGTAAAGTTTATGACTTTAAACAAGCACATGGAAAATCTGTGTTTTTTTTTTGGATCCTTTATGATGGTGATGTAATGCAAAGGTTTATTTCGAAGGCTTTGTGCCTTGTGATGTATGTATTTTATGTTTGAAGTTGCAATTCAAGTTTGATGAACATTCACATGTAAGTATATGGTTGGATTGCTTATATTCTTGTTATTTAATCAAGTGCTAGGAGTGTGCATAGAATAAATGCAATGGAAATGATAAAAATATGTATGTTCTGTGTCATTAACATAGCATATCAGAAATATATACTGCTATCATGCAAATAGAGAAGTTACAAGTATTGGGAAATTTGTGGATAAATAAATGGGTCTCTGAGGTTTATAAATGAATATGAAGTCTCATACAATTTGGAATGAACAGGAAATTTATCTTATATGCTGTCAATTAACATAACATGAAACATTTGCTTGTAATTTTCAACATTCACTGCTTGTTATTTTAGTTCTATATACCAAGGGTGAAATCTTAGTGTTGGAGTAGAAAAGATCAGCACCTTTGGGTGTTGATACATTTTGTTGTCATGAAAGTTTGCAAATTTATTGTTTTCTTATATAATATATCCTAAGATTCTATAATTATTATAGGCTACACTACCTGGATTTTCGTCCAAGGGGCTATCCATTGAAGAAGGGGAATCACTACTAGAGAGGAGTGTCAAATTGGCAGTTGAAGCCCGTGATAATTTCTGGAATTCAGTCAAAAGAAATTCTGGGAATAGATATAGAAGAGCTTTGGTTGCAGCCTCCATTGGAAGCTATGGAGCTTACCTTGCTGATGGCTCAGAATACAGGTGCTTCAACACTCTTTAAAATTTAATAGTTTGGTTCTTATGTGTCCTGCAGAGAAACTACTGTATGTTTTCGGTATGTTTGTGGAATTCATTCATATTGATTTCTTCCTGTAGTGGTTGCTATGGACCAGATGTTAATTTAAAGGAGTTGAAGGATTTTCATCGCCGCAGATTGCAAGTTCTCATTGAAGCTGGTCCAGATTTGCTTGCTTTTGAGACCATTCCAAACAAACTTGAAGCTCAGGTCTTTTTAATTTTTTGTTTTCTTTTTTCTTTTTCCAATAAGCATGTTTCATAGAAGTATACCTTGATGTAATTTCTTAAATTAAAATTACTGCAATCTATTTACAGCACAAAATTACAATTCTTCTACTTTGTTGTTCATCCACTTCTCTCACGTTTCTATAATTACATTTTGTATTTTAAAATCAATATGTTCATCTCTTTGACAGCCCTACCATATTGGTTCTCTAAATTCAATAAACATACCAACTCTTTATTTATTTTATAATATGTATTCTTTTTCACATAGCGTAGTCTCTTTCATTTGGCATTTTTGTAATGGTAGTTGTGTGTGCTCCATCATGATCAATTAATGGAACAACTGACATAACATTTGAAACCATAATTTGTAAATTAAATAAATTCCTTGATATTAGGGAAAGAAACTGAAAAATATTACTGACTTTTATTTATTTTTTTATTCTTATCTAAATTCTTGAACACTGAAGTATCTCTTTGTTTAAAGCTGTTTTATATATTACAGTTTGAACATTTTTTCTATCTAAACAGGTGATATAGATGTTGGAATCTGTATGTAAAATAATGATCCAGCTTTAGCAAAGACTTCACTTCAGTAATAGTTCTGAGGAAACTTACCATTAAACACTTTAAATTTTAAATATGAGAAATGCCTGATTTGTTAAACCTGCAAGAGTGTCAGTGTACGTGTAGCAACCTGAAATTAGCAATGACCTAGATAAATTAAAAAATTATGCATACAATCCCTGACCCTGCACAGGCTCTGGGTTTTACATTTGTAACAGCTCCGGCTCATTGTCTTTTCTTTCATCAATAATAATCTCTCCTTTATACTATTTTGTACTTTTAGGTGATTTCAGGGGTTTGTGATATAAAATAAACAAACAGGATACGTATGGTATGCAGGCTAATAATGATTAATACTAAAATTCTATCTAATAAAACATAAACCTAAAGTCAAACCATTCATAACTTTTTGTTCTAATTATTTGAAGTTGTTTCCATGGTAGAATACAGAAAGAAGAAGCATATTTAAGGTTTATCTTCTCTTGTATGAATTACTGTGTAATTCCTAGAAAATATCCTGCCTGTCTTCTCTGAATTGTTTCACTGCTTGCACCAATTCCTCAAATTTTCAACCCAAACATTCATTGACTCACAATTATTATGTATGGGTATTATATATAATGTTGAGATGAAACATGTATAGTTCTACAAAAAATACTTGTTTCATGACTTTTTGATGATTTAGCAGTCATTAATCTCGCCTGAAAAAGAAGTCATGATGTTCATGTAGCTCTATTTGTGTAAGATATTTTCATTATTATGATTTGTTTTTTAATTTTATTTCCATCATTAATATTTGTGTTTGTATTCTATTTATCTTTTCTTCTGAGCTGTTTCATAATAACTTCATATTAACTGTAGGCTAAATGTTTTAAGTTATAAATCATTTCTATGATCGCTAATGCACTGTTTTTAATTCTTTTACTATGATACATGTATTGGATACGACATGTATTTGGTATGACGATATGATTATTTTAAAATATATAAGATAGAATACATGTAAGACACTTATTATATATTTCATGAATATTTAGGGTTTAGGGTTTATTATATGTGTGTAATTGTAATTTTGATTAAAAGTCATAAACATTAAATGTATAAATATATAATTGCTATTTTGCAAATCTAAATTAAAAACATACTTTTTATTATCAAAAACAAATAAATTATAAATCATTTCATAATAAATTAGTTTTTTATTATTTACAAATAGAAATAATATTATCAATCTCAATTTTTCTTAAAATTTTCATTTATAGTTCAAGGATCAATTTTTCTGTGTTTCTATATTAAACATATTTGTATGTCTTATTTAGTTATAATGGATATTTCATAATTTTTAAAAATTTAGATACTTTATCGATATGTATCATCAATAACTATCGGTGGAGTATCCAGGATTGAATAAAATTTTTATAATATTTTTAAAGGCATACTTCACCAATACGTATCAGTGAAGTATTCGAAAGTATTGTATCGGATACAAATATATGAAACAAATTGAAGTATCGGTACTTCATAATTCTTTTACTATCAAGATGAATGTTTCTAGTATTCATAGTCAAATTATCCTATTACAGGCTTGTGTCGAATTGCTCGAAGAAGAGAGTGTCAAAATCCCATCTTGGATATGTTTTACCACAGTAGATGGTGAAAATGCTCCCTCAGGAGAAAGTTTTAAAGACTGCCTTGAATCGATAAACAAGAGTAACAAAGTAGAAGCAGTTGGTATAAACTGTGCACCTCCTTATTTCATAGAAAGCCTCATCTGCAAATTTAAGCAGGTAACTGCTAAATCACATGACTTTGGTTTGAATATTTGACAAAGAATTTCAGTGTGCATTATCAGAGAATTAAAAAAATTAATCTTATCCTTTCAGTTGACGAATAAGGCCATCATTGTTTATCCCAATAGTGGGGAAGTGTGGGATGGCAAAGCCAAGAAATGGCTAGTAAGTTAGAGTTATCTCCTTCTCTTTCTCCCTCTCTCTCACATGTCTATTTGAATACAAGTTTAAAAAAACTTTTGAGGGTTTTTTTATTAAAAAATCTCTCAGAAACACTTCTAACTTGTATCCGAATTCATTTTTTGTCATATTTCACATGTTATTCAAGTGTTTTTTTATTTAATTTTTTTTAAATGACAGCCATCAAAGTGTTTTCACGACGATGATTTTGGATTTAATGCAAGAAGGTGGCGTGATTTGGGGGCTAAAATCATAGGAGGCTGTTGCCGGACTACACCTTCCACTATTCAAATTATTTCAAATGCTTTAAGAGCAAAATCTTGACTGTGCTCATAGATGTAACTGCTGACAAATTGCGATATCTTATCAAGGCATTTTGTAGTGTGTTGTCTAAATTTTAATTGTTTGAAGCTTTTTCATTAAAGTATCTCATTTTATATCCATGAGAACTGAAAGAGATGTTAAAGAATTTGGCATAAGCTTGATTAATTTCATAGATAAATTAACCAAGTTCTACAAATTTGATTATGCTCGTAAGCTTTTGCTTATACTCAGTTATGTCACGAATGGTAGATTCTCAAATTAATTTTAGTAGAGGCAAAATCCTAACTAATATTAATTTTATCAAATTTAATGGCTATATGTCATCGTTGTAAAATAATTTGCATGGTGGCATGTATGACTTTTAAGTTTTTTTTTTCTTTTGTAAAAGTCAATAATATTATTATATATGGTGATATGGAATTAGATAACGCTATAAAAAAAAAAAAAATTACACCGACGATGTATAGATTATTTTTCTCTCTTAATTTTAGTTAAGAAAATAAAAATAAAAAAAACTGAAAAAATCCAAAACTAGACAAGTTTACTTTTAAAGAACAAACCTTCAATAGTATTGAATATTCATTAATTTAGTTTTTAAGTAGATATATTTTACTAACATCGAGACATGAATTTCAATTTTTTTATACTTGAAGGATTATGTAACATAATTTATAATATTGTAGGGACTACTGATAAATTTCAATAGTTTAAGGATCATTTAAGAAAGAGTGCGGTACTTCAGTGATTAAATTAATGTATATTCACTTGGAAGACAATGGAATCATGCCTAGGAGGACAAGAGGTGATACCTTGAAGGAACTAAGAGAAATGAGCTAGACATGAAGATTTGGGTCAGTCAAAGCCCAATAGGCTTGGAAGGCCCAAGTTGCCTCTCACATAGGCCACACCTTGAAATATCCATTTTCTTTTATTTTGTATATATTATATTAGTATAGGTTTCATATATTTTGGTTTTGTATTTTGGGTCATAGGCTTAATACACCTAGTTTTGGGCTTCATGGGCCTTTGGGCTTTCGGTACCTAATATGGGGCTCATTTTAATTCTTGTAATTTTTCCTTCTGATTGTATTTGGTTGGCCATTGTATTTAGGCCATTAGAATAGGAATTTAAAGGAAATGAGTAATAGCCATGAATCATAGAATTGTAATTGCATTTAAGAGTAATTAGAATTGCATTTGAAGTTTAGCGAAAAAAGACACAGAAAAAGGGTTGAATGTCTGTGTAAACGAAAGAATTTTAAAATCATTTTCGCAAAGAGACTCTTTTTCTTCTAATAAAATATTATTTTGAACACTTAAAAATTGTGCAAGGTTGGCTCAACAAAAGATTTTGCATTTGAGAGTTTATCGTCTGCACAAGGAAAATGTTTCTTAGAGTAATAAGTTAAGCAAGTATATTTTCCGTCTGAAGATAGTTGTAGTAAAAATAAGTAGTGGACAAAAGTTTTAGTATGATATATAAGTTAAACAAAATTGCGTCTGATAAAATAAAGAGTGCAAAAAGTTTTATACTAGTTCGCTCGTCCTAAGCTACGTCCAGTCTCTTTCAACCGAAGGGTTCCACTAATCACAACAGATTAAAAGTATTATCAACCACTTCTGGTTCGCCAACTTCACTCGTCAGTGCTAGTATTCTTAAACCACTTCTTGTTCCCCGAGTATTATCAACCACTCCTGGTTTGCCAACTTCACTCATCAGCGCTAGTATTCTTAAACCACTTATTGTTCATCAAGTATTCTTTCAACTAACCTCTTCAGGCTTTACAGCAAATAGATTTTTTGAGTGTGTGTATAACTCTCACAAAGAGGATAGGATGGTTTCTACACTCACTAAGGTATGCAACCTTAGTTTTACAGAGATATGTGTTTTGAGTGTGTGTATTACTCTCATAGAGAGGATAGGATAATTTCAACACTCACTAAGATAAGATATCTTAGATTTACACAAATATACAAGACTATACAGGAAGAGGTGTAAGTTGGCTTTCACGTTTGCTTTTTCTTATTGCTCTTTGCTCTTCTTCTTGTTCCATCTCTCGTTAGGTCTTGATATTTATAGCCTTGTGATAAATCTGCCCGTTGTTTGAATTTGAACATTTTTGTTGGAGCGAAGCTTCCCGTTGGCGCAGATAGTTGTTCATTCATGGCTATATAGATCTTTTTCATTTAATGCATTTGATCTTGCATTAAATGTTTACTTACTGAATCCGTGTTACGTGAAGTATTTTGTGTAGTTAGTTCACTTCTATGTCTGATTTCAATCATAACCTAGGTATTTTTTGTTCTCTCTCTGTTAGTGTAGCTGTAGAGGCGTTGTCTTTTTCTGAAAAGTAGGTGTATTTTCTTTGACACACGCATGCTTTGACTTTTGGATCCGCGCTTGTCTATCTTTCTTCTTTCTTCTCACAAATTTGATGACTTCGTGTGCTCTTCTATGAGTGTAGACGATATTTGATATTTCTTGTTGTGAATAGTGGACTTCAGACGCTTTTCAGTATTCTTCGTCTGCATTTGGTAATGCATCTTAAATTTGAGTCTCCGTCTGAGAGATAGACTTTAACTTTTCTTTCGTCTGGTTAGTTATGAAGATGAAAGTCTTTAATTCCGTCTAGAATGTTTCTTCGTCTTGGGTTATCCATCGTCTGATACTTAATCCTTTGACTGGTTGACTTTTCCTTCCGTTTGATCAGTTGTGAGGATGGAAGACATTTATTCCATTTGGAACGTTTCTTCGTCTTTAGTTATCCATCGTCTGATACTTTGTTGACCTTTGACTGGTAGTACGCCTTGTCTTGTATTAGTTGTATTTTTGTCTGGCTTTTGATCAAGCTTTGTTTGGTTTGACCATAATGTGTGTAATAACACGTACTTCATTTTTCTATTTTTTCTGTTCTTATATTTATCTGAAACACTAACACACATGTTAGAAATAACAATATGTATTATATTTGTCATGTTCAAAACCGTGTTGGGAATTTCTTCGTCTGACTTAACACATTTGAGTCATATGTTTTGTGCCAAGGGTGGTTGCACATGTGATCATTCAAATGAATCCTAAATTACACTTAAATGTAATTAAGAGTTCTAGAAGGGTGGCTGCACATGGCTGGACAAGTGGGACGTCCAAATTTGAATTTGAATTCAAAATTGGCGCCACTTTGAGCACATGGTGGTGGCGCCACTTTCTCTTGATCCAAGGCCTATAAATAATTCTTTCCATCCTTGTGTAGACACTTTGAACCTAATAGAGAATTTGATCAGATTTGATTCAGCCTTATTCTCTCCTCAAAGTCACCTTTTCACGCCTAAAATAGTTCCTTGAGAGCTTTTAGGACTAGTTCCCTTTGTGAGCCATCCATTGCTCACTTTGCTTTGGTGCTTCCTTCCACTTCAATTCTGATCTTCTTCTCCTCTCTTTTCTGGATTTGAATGTTCATAATTTGGATCAAGGAAGATCTCCAAGGTCGTGCAACTCAAGAGTGAAGATCATCAATCTTCTTCACTAGGAGTTGCCATCATTTTTGGTATCAAGAGCATTGGTTCAATTCCTTGAGGTTAGATGCTCCTTTTCACCATTCATTTTTTGTGTTTTGTGTTCTTATATGTCTCATATGTGTCTCTCTAATTTTGATCTAAATTTTGGTTGATATTTGATGGATCCCATTGATGTGATTGTATTTTGTTCAATCCGGCAATCACAAGGAGTATAGGCTTCTACCTTATCCAGTTTTTGATTGTTTGAGTCTTCTTAATTTTCATTTGGTCATTTGAATTTAAATGCATGTGATTTTGATTTTTGAATCCTAATTTTTGTCTAGAAGTCATGTTTAGTCACTTCTTTGTCAAAACTTCAAGATGTGCTTCGTTTAGCCAATTTTAATTTGATTTGTATCTTGATTTTAGCTTTGGTTGAGAGCTTTGTTGTATGCCTTGCTTATGTGCTTTTCATTTTGCAAATTTGAGTTCATGTCCATTACTAGTTCATTGATGGATTCTTAGAGTTAGGATTCCATTATGTCTTGATGTTTGTGTATTGGTTTTGATTCCAAGAAAAATCTTCTAAAAAAAAATTGTGAACACATCTTCTAGAATTTTGGCTAGTTGAAGTAGTCCAATCCTAGTGCATGAATTGGAGTTTATGAATCTGGAAAATTTCTTGTAAAATAGAGGAAAAACAGAACCAATATTGAAAATAATTTGCAAGAAAAAAAAAATAATTGAAACAAGCAAGTGTTTGACATAGAACATGCACCAAAATCCTTACAATTTTGAACTATCTCTAGCTAAAAAATTTTGAGCAAATTCGGATTTAATTTGTGTTCTATAGTGGCTGGATTTTTTTTTTCTGGAAAAAGGAAATTGATCTCTCCATTGATTCAAAAGAAATTTGAAAAAGAAAGATTAAAAAAACCAAGAATAGAAAAAGAACAAAAGTAGAAAAAGCCAAGGAGAATCAATGAACATTGAAATTTGCCACTACATTGAATCCGGTTTGCAACTTGATTGGTTCCTTGCTTAATCTTCTTTTCCTTTAATTTTGGTTTTGTTAATCTAATATAGAGCTAATCTAGGACCTTTCCTTTTGAGTTCCAACTTTTAGGTAACTCTTAATTTTTAGTTTTCTAGTCTTGATTGGAACTCTTTGTGTTTGTCAAACTCTTACTCTACTTTGGTGTAGTTATTTCTAATTGTGCTTTTGTTATTTTTATTCTTGGATTCCATAACTGGAAGCTGCCTCAAACCATTGCAAAGGAATAAACAAAGCCTAGAAGAAGGAGAGGAATTCTAAGACTAGGAGATTTTGGACTTGTTCATACATAAATTATCCTTTAACCTCCTAAAAGATCCTTCACAAGAGTGATCCTACCTTCATCATTGTGAGGAGGCCTTGTTTCTTTAAAAATTGTTTTTTCAATGAGGAGCAAAGGAAATTTCTAGATTAGAGACAGATTAGAGACCAAAAATTTGGTTGCTGGAAAATCTGTCACAAAATCTGTCTTTAATTTCATCACTACTTCGGTCACTAATTCTGTTTTTGGCTAGTTTACATTTTCTTGCAATCTTTCTTTGTTTAAATAAAATTTAATAGCTTGGAGGGAGTATTAAGAAGCTAGTCAGGTATTTCTAAACCCTTATAGCTCACTCACGTGTAGATTTAGTGGAAGTGGTGTTAAGTCAGACCAAACAATTCCCAACGAGTTTTTAAATATGGCAAATATAATACATATTATGATGGAACTACTTGGAGAAGATTGATGTTCTTCCAAGTTATCCATGCAAGGACCGAAATGTTCTTAAGGTTGAACTCCTTGAGGTGGCGGAATCACCTTGGAAGATTCTCCAATGGTGGAGAAGAAATGGAGTAGGTTCGGTTACTTCCTAGCTTGTGAAGGAAGCTTGAGGAACCAAGGCCAAAGGTTGAAAACCTTTGGTGAGAAACTTAGAGAGAAAATTCTATTAGGTTTTAGGAGAGACTTTTGGGGAGAGAAATCTGAATTTTTATTTCTCAAATGTTCAAAAGTGATTACAAGAGTATAAAATACAAATATATAGGGAGAGCTAGCTTCTAGTGTAAGCTAACCTTAACCATGGTTCACTAGGAACCATGGTAAGGTGTAGCTAACCATCCATGGTTTCTAAAAATTGCAGGAGAAGCTAACCTTGACCATGGTTCACTTAAGAACCATGGTAAGGTCAGCCAAACCTACTAAGGTTTAGAAGCTTGGAAGGCAAGCTTCAAAGCTTGTAGGAGAAGCTAGAATTCGGCCAAGAACACAAGTGAAGAGCTAGGCGGCCAAGACTCCAAAATGCTCCATGATTTATTTTAAATTCTTTGATTTGGTTTAGTTAGGTTCATCATATGATGATGAGACCTAGCTAAATCAAATCTATGAAAAATTAGGAGAAAAATGAGTCTAATATGCAAAATTTTTCCTAGGCCTAGTTCTAGCCCAATTACTAATCACACCCTCAAGCATTGCTAAATGCCATCCCTTTTTTGCTACTAAAAAAATATAAAATGAATGTAACAACTAGGGAGGTTAAATGGAGTTAAACTCTCCAAGTAGCCTACCCTAAAATCAATATACAATCACTAATAAAAGCAAGTAAAGTGCCTCACAAATACAAAGACAAAAATAAGCCTATACAAAAAAACTACTATATGTACAAACATGAAAAGGTCTTTAAGATCATCCCATTCCTCTTGGTTCTTTTAAGATATCACCTCTTGGATTCCTTGGCCTTGGCCATAGTCTATCATATTGTTATCACTAACCTGTGTAGTAGTGTCTCAAATATGTATAAGAACATGGAAAACTAAAGTATGAATTAGGGTTGAACAAATCAAAGATCAGGCAAATCAAGCCAAATAATAGAAGGATCATGACTTGCGCACCAGACAACAATGAATACCAAACGAAGATATACCAAGAACAATCTACAAGCGCAATATAAGAAATCAGAAACAAGAGCAAAACAAGACCAAGAAAAACTAAACATCAGATGAAGTGTAAAAACTACCTTATCCTCTCTGTGAGAGTTACAAACTCTAAACACATCCTTGAAAAACTAAGGTTGAATACCTTAGTGAGTGTAGAAACCATTTTATCCTCTTTGTGAGAGTCACATACACACTCAAAACATCTATCATCTGTAAAGCTTGAAGAGGCTAGAAAAAGAATACCTGTAGAACCAGAAGTGGTTTAAGACTACTAGCGTCAACAAGAGAAGTTGACGAACCAGGAGTGGTTGAGAATACTCGGGCAACCAGAAGTGGTTTAAGAATACTAGCGTCAGCAAGTGAAGTTGACGAACCAAAACTGGTTAAGAATACTTGTAATCCGTTGTGATTAGTGGAACCCTTCAGTTGAAGGATACTAGACGTAGCTCATAACAAGTGAACCAGTATAAAAACTCTGCGCATTGTTATTCAATTTAGAAACGCAGTATTACTTATATTGATCTATCACACTAAAAAACTTTGTCTACTACTACTTATTTTCTAAACAACATTTAGACGAATTTGATGGACTCCTTCCACCATGGGAGAGACCAAGACATCCAAGGTGGGTGAGAGACTCCTTGCTAAGGCCAAGGTGATGACCTCAATGGTGGATGTTCCTTCAAGGGTGGAGAAATAAGGATGATGGACATGAGGTGTTTATGGTGGGAGAATAGGAGGAATTGGAAGGGAAATGTGTCTAAGTGGTTCTAGGTTGGCTCACTTCACCAAGTGGGGATGAAGGCCACTCAATAAAACCTAAACTCACTCAAGGGAGGATAGAGGAGGTCTAGGCCATGATGACCTAGGTGACTAAGGAGAGGATTTGAGGCAAAAAATGCTCACTCAAATTCATATATTCCAAAGTATTTACAAGGTGCATGGTTTAGGGTATTTATAGGGGCGAGAGCATTTAGGGTTGCATTTGGGAGTGTATGGCCGAAAATTGCAATGTCAAATGCACTCCAAATGAAACTCAAATTAACCCTAGATGCTACTTGGTGGCCAAGGATGGAATCTTTGGGTTTGGCTAAGCTACAACTAGGTGCATGATAAGACCATGCAACCTAGGTGCCCTCCACTTGGTCCTAAGCCTTTCCAAGTCCAAAAATAGATCAATGCTCACCAAAAAAATATGTCTAGGCCCTAAATAAATACCCTAGTCCAAAAATATAAAATCCTATAATCTAAGGCAACCCATAATACAAGGGTAAAATGGGAAATACAAGTAAAAATAAATCCTATGACTAAAATACCCCAAAATACAAGGGTAAAAAATAAACCCTATACTAATGAGAATTAGGAGAGTAATTAGTACTCTATGACCATGAAGAGGGTATCCTTTGGTGGGTGAGCTCCCTCCTCCTTTTCTACTCTCCTAGCCATGAACCTTGTGATGGGGCCCACATGGTTCTTCAAAGATGGTCCTCCAACATCCCCTCCTTCTTGAGAAGCATCTGTCCTCAGATTAAGATCTTCATCCACATCCTCAGCTCCTAGAAATGGTGTGAGATCACATACAGTAAAAGATGAGCTAATGCCATACTCAGAAGGAAGATCTAATAGTAAAGTTTATGACTTTAAACAAGCACATGGAAAATCTGTGTTTTTTTTTTGGATCCTTTATGATGGTGATGTAATGCAAAGGTTTATTTCGAAGGCTTTGTGCCTTGTGATGTATGTATTTTATGTTTGAAGTTGCAATTCAAGTTTGATGAACATTCACATGTAAGTATATGGTTGGATTGCTTATATTCTTGTTATTTAATCAAGTGCTAGGAGTGTGCATAGAATAAATGCAATGGAAATGATAAAAATATGTATGTTCTGTGTCATTAACATAGCATATCAGAAATATATACTGCTATCATGCAAATAGAGAAGTTACAAGTATTGGGAAATTTGTGGATAAATAAATGGGTCTCTGAGGTTTATAAATGAATATGAAGTCTCATACAATTTGGAATGAACAGGAAATTTATCTTATATGCTGTCAATTAACATAACATGAAACATTTGCTTGTAATTTTCAACATTCACTGCTTGTTATTTTAGTTCTATATACCAAGGGTGAAATCTTAGTGTTGGAGTAGAAAAGATCAGCACCTTTGGGTGTTGATACATTTTGTTGTCATGAAAGTTTGCAAATTTATTGTTTTCTTATATAATATATCCTAAGATTCTATAATTATTATAGGCTACACTACCTGGATTTTCGTCCAAGGGGCTATCCATTGAAGAAGGGGAATCACTACTAGAGAGGAGTGTCAAATTGGCAGTTGAAGCCCGTGATAATTTCTGGAATTCAGTCAAAAGAAATTCTGGGAATAGATATAGAAGAGCTTTGGTTGCAGCCTCCATTGGAAGCTATGGAGCTTACCTTGCTGATGGCTCAGAATACAGGTGCTTCAACACTCTTTAAAATTTAATAGTTTGGTTCTTATGTGTCCTGCAGAGAAACTACTGTACACTACCTGGATTTTCGTCCAAGGGGCTATCCATTGAAGAAGGGGAATCACTACTAGAGAGGAGTGTCAAATTGGCAGTTGAAGCCCGTGATAATTTCTGGAATTCAGTCAAAAGAAATTCTGGGAATAGATATAGAAGAGCTTTGGTTGCAGCCTCCATTGGAAGCTATGGAGCTTACCTTGCTGATGGCTCAGAATACAGGTGCTTCAACACTCTTTAAAATTTAATAGTTTGGTTCTTATGTGTCCTGCAGAGAAACTACTGTATGTTTTCGGTATGTTTGTGGAATTCATTCATATTGATTTCTTCCTGTAGTGGTTGCTATGGACCAGATGTTAATTTAAAGGAGTTGAAGGATTTTCATCGCCGCAGATTGCAAGTTCTCATTGAAGCTGGTCCAGATTTGCTTGCTTTTGAGACCATTCCAAACAAACTTGAAGCTCAGGTCTTTTTAATTTTTTGTTTTCTTTTTTCTTTTTCCAATAAGCATGTTTCATAGAAGTATACCTTGATGTAATTTCTTAAATTAAAATTACTGCAATCTATTTACAGCACAAAATTACAATTCTTCTACTTTGTTGTTCATCCACTTCTCTCACGTTTCTATAATTACATTTTGTATTTTAAAATCAATATGTTCATCTCTTTGACAGCCCTACCATATTGGTTCTCTAAATTCAATAAACATACCAACTCTTTATTTATTTTATAATATGTATTCTTTTTCACATAGCGTAGTCTCTTTCATTTGGCATTTTTGTAATGGTAGTTGTGTGTGCTCCATCATGATCAATTAATGGAACAACTGACATAACATTTGAAACCATAATTTGTAAATTAAATAAATTCCTTGATATTAGGGAAAGATATAAGAAATGCGTGTTATGCGTATTTTAGGATCATCAAGGAGACCTCTGTTGAGTCAGACGAAGCAATTTCCAACAAGGTTTTGAATATGAAAAATATAGTACATATTGTTATTACTAACCTGTGTAATAGTGTTTCAGATATGTATAAGAACAAGAAAAACTAAAGCATGAAGCATGGTTGAGCAAAACAAAGATTAGACAAATCAAGCCAAATTATAGAAGGATCATGACTTGTGCACCAGTCGACAACGAATGCCAAACGAAGATATGTCAAAAACAATCTAGAGCGCAATATACGAAATCAGAAACAAGAGCAAAACTAGACCAAGATAAAGTTGGCTCAACACCAAATAAACATTAGAAGAAACTCAATGGTCAACCACATAAAGGTCAATAAAACAATCCTCAGTCGTTGGATAACACAAGACGAAGAAACATTCCAGACGGAATAAAAGTCATTCTCCTCAAAGACTGATCAGACGAGATAACAAAGTCAAAGTCTAACTCTTAGACGCAGACTCAAATTTCAAGACGCAAATGAAGCATGTTGAAAAAGCGTCTGAAGTCCACTAGTCACACAACGCAGAAGATCATATATCATCTCCGTGGTCGGTGTGTATAACGAATTCTTTAGTCACTAAGTAGTGCTCCCAAACTTGGAGAGCTCTTATGAGGGCATAAAGCTGTTTATCATAGGTGGGATAATTCAAGGTGGCCCCATGGAGTTTTTCACTAAAGTAGGCAATGGGGTGGCCTCCTTGAAGTAACACAACACCTATGCCAAGAATGAATGCATCACATTCTAGTTAGGATGGGTGCATTGGTAAGTTTCTCTTTTAGGATTTTAAAGGCTTTTTCTTGGGCTTCACCCCAAAGGAAAGGTACATCCTTCTTAACAAGCTCGTTAAGAGGGGTTGCAAGTGTGGAGAAGTCTTTTACAAATCTTCTACAGAAGCTAGCTAGACCATGAAAGCTTCTAATATCTCCAACACTTTTTGGGGTGGGCCAATCTTGGATGGCCTTTATTTTCTCAAGGTCAACATAAACTCCCTCTTTGCCAACTATGAAACCCAAAAAGTTGACTTATTCTAATAGCTTCTATTCTGGCAACATGTGCAAAAGTTTCAGTGAAGTCTATACCTTCTTGCTGAGAGTAACCTTTTGCAACTAACCTTGCTTTGTTCCTTACCACGTTCCCTGATTCGTCCAATTTATTTTTTTATACCCATTTTGTTCCTATGATCGTCCTATCCTTAGGCTTTGGAACAAGTTTCCAGTCATCATTCTTCTGGAAGTGACTTAACTCTTCTTGCACGGCCTGAACCCAGCTTTTGTCTGATAGGGCTTTGTCCGTGGTTCTTGGTTCAACTTGAGATAGCAGTGCGATTTGTGCTTGTGTTTTGAACGAACTTCTAGTTCTTACTGCATCCTTTACTTCTCCAATGATTTGTTCTTGCGGGTGATGAGCTTTCATCTGCTAGTTGCGATTGACTGGTTCTATTTCCTCTCTTTCGTCCTATTAAGTTACTATTTCTTCAGACTCAGGCTTATTTGTCTGATTATTGTTCACCTGCATGTTCTTGAAGAAATTGCCTAGCTCTGATATTTCTTTATCAGACTTGTTTTCATCAAATTTAACATGAATGACTTCTTCAATAGTTTTGGTTCTATTTTTGAATACCCTATAGGCTCTTGACCTTTCAAAATATCCAAGTAGGATACCCTCGTCGATTTTTGAGTCAAATTTTCCTAAATTGTCTTTGGTATTCAAAATAAAGCATTTGCATCCAAACGGATGAAAATATGATATGTTGGGTGCTTGTCCCTTCCACAATTCATAGGGAGTCTTTTTCAATAAAGGCCTAATATATATTATGTTTTGAATATAGCAGGAAGTATTAACTACTTCTGCCCAGAAATATTTGGGGGTGGAGAAATTGTTTAATAAAGTTTTTTTCTCTTTGTTTAAAGCTGTTTTATATATTACAGTTTGAACATTTTTTCTATCTAAACAGGTGATATAGATGTTGGAATCTGTATGTAAAATAATGATCCAGCTTTAGCAAAGACTTCACTTCAGTAATAGTTCTGAGGAAACTTACCATTAAACACTTTAAATTTTAAATATGAGAAATGCCTGATTTGTTAAACCTGCAAGAGTGTCAGTGTACGTGTAGCAACCTGAAATTAGCAATGACCTAGATAAATTAAAAAATTATGCATACAATCCCTGACCCTGCACAGGCTCTGGGTTTTACATTTGTAACAGCTCCGGCTCATTGTCTTTTCTTTCATCAATAATAATCTCTCCTTTATACTATTTTGTACTTTTAGGTGATTTCAGGGGTTTGTGATATAAAATAAACAAACAGGATACGTATGGTATGCAGGCTAATAATGATTAATACTAAAATTCTATCTAATAAAACATAAACCTAAAGTCAAACCATTCATAACTTTTTGTTCTAATTATTTGAAGTTGTTTCCATGGTAGAATACAGAAAGAAGAAGCATATTTAAGGTTTATCTTCTCTTGTATGAATTACTGTGTAATTCCTAGAAAATATCCTGCCTGTCTTCTCTGAATTGTTTCACTGCTTGCACCAATTCCTCAAATTTTCAACCCAAACATTCATTGACTCACAATTATTATGTATGGGTATTATATATAATGTTGAGATGAAACATGTATAGTTCTACAAAAAATACTTGTTTCATGACTTTTTGATGATTTAGCAGTCATTAATCTCGCCTGAAAAAGAAGTCATGATGTTCATGTAGCTCTATTTGTGTAAGATATTTTCATTATTATGATTTGTTTTTTAATTTTATTTCCATCATTAATATTTGTGTTTGTATTCTATTTATCTTTTCTTCTGAGCTGTTTCATAATAACTTCATATTCACTGTAGGCTAAATGTTTTAAGTTATAAATCATTTCTATGATCGCTAATGCACTGTTTTTAATTCTTTTACTATGATACATGTATTGGATACGACATGTATTTGGTATGACGATATGATTATTTTAAAATATATAAGATAGAATACATGTAAGACACTTATTATATATTTCATGAATATTTAGGGTTTAGGGTTTATTATATGTGTGTAATTGTAATTTTGATTAAAAGTCATAAACATTAAATGTATAAATATATAATTGCTATTTTGCAAATCTAAATTAAAAACATACTTTTTATTATCAAAAACAAATAAATTATAAATCATTTCATAATAAATTAGTTTTTTATTATTTACAAATAGAAATAATATTATCAATCTCAATTTTTCTTAAAATTTTCATTTATAGTTCAAGGATCAATTTTTCTGTGTTTCTATATTAAACATATTTGTATGTCTTATTTAGTTATAATGGATATTTCATAATTTTTAAAAATTTAGATACTTTATCGATATGTATCATCAATAACTATCGGTGGAGTATCCAGGATTGAATAAAATTTTTATAATATTTTTAAAGGCATACTTCACCAATACGTATCAGTGAAGTATTCGAAAGTATTGTATCGGATACAAATATATGAAACAAATTGAATTGAGGAGTATAACTCGTCGAAGACAAAATAAAACTTGGTGGTTTCTTCATGCTTGTGGACTTGATTATTCTTCTCTCCTAGTTCTATTCCGTCTTGTTGACGTGTCTTTCTTTTCTTCGTGGTTATATGAAACCACTTGTATGGAATGCCCTTGTTGGGGATAGGCTTTTTGACATGATCTTGGCTCTTAAGGCACTGTCTAGCTGTTAATCTTTTTATGAGTGCTTCGGCCTCTTGATTCCTCCGATAAGTGATGGATAGACATACACAAAGAGGGAAAGAATCAAAATCAAAACTGAAAAATATTACTGACTTTTATTTATTTTTTTATTCTTATCTAAATTCTTGAACACTGAAGTATCTCTTTGTTTAAAGCTGTTTTATATATTACAGTTTGAACATTTTTTCTATCTAAACAGGTGATATAGATGTTGGAATCTGTATGTAAAATAATGATCCAGCTTTAGCAAAGACTTCACTTCAGTAATAGTTCTGAGGAAACTTACCATTAAACACTTTAAATTTTAAATATGAGAAATGCCTGATTTGTTAAACCTGCAAGAGTGTCAGTGTACGTGTAGCAACCTGAAATTAGCAATGACCTAGATAAATTAAAAAATTATGCATACAATCCCTGACCCTGCACAGGCTCTGGGTTTTACATTTGTAACAGCTCCGGCTCATTGTCTTTTCTTTCATCAATAATAATCTCTCCTTTATACTATTTTGTACTTTTAGGTGATTTCAGGGGTTTGTGATATAAAATAAACAAACAGGATACGTATGGTATGCAGGCTAATAATGATTAATACTAAAATTCTATCTAATAAAACATAAACCTAAAGTCAAACCATTCATAACTTTTTGTTCTAATTATTTGAAGTTGTTTCCATGGTAGAATACAGAAAGAAGAAGCATATTTAAGGTTTATCTTCTCTTGTATGAATTACTGTGTAATTCCTAGAAAATATCCTGCCTGTCTTCTCTGAATTGTTTCACTGCTTGCAAAAATAAGCTCAACAAACAATACAATTTATGTGCTACTCCTATTACACAACATAATAGCCATATTTTCCTCTTGACTTTGTTTTTGACTTGTTGATGTCCTTGGTCAATCTTGATTCTCATAACCAACACTTTGTTATCATCAAAACCTTCATTCTCCAGATCTGAGTTGATTCACCACTATGAAACTCAACAATCTCCCCCTTTTTGATGATGAAAAACCATACAAGCCAAGCCATTTTGTTTTGCAAACCATATTTCCACATTTTAAATCTTGCAAAACAAGCTCAAAAGCCTTTCTCCCCCTTTGGTCATGATAAAAAACAAACCAATATGTATTTTTCCAGATTACACATGTATGAACTTATGCACAATACTCATCTGCTCATAATCAATGCCACAAAACTGATTTAAAC